CGGCATGCTTAGTCAGATCTGACCCATTCTCACTACTGCCCCACACTTCATTCTTGCCAACCCAGACCCAGCCAACATACTCTCTCTCCAATCAGTCCCCCGATATGGCAAAGCTCTGGGAGGACCTATTCCTTATCCACTGAAGAAACTAATCAAGACATGGCACTGGAGAGATGGAAGTGTGCTCGTGGGTTGAACAACAGAAATCAGAGAGGAGCCTAAAATGGTTTTGGAACTTTAAGGACCAAATATAACTGGTATTGCTCATGAGAGACTAACCTGTCTACCAAGCTTTCCATTTTCGAGGGCATCTGTGACTGAGTCTTCATGATCTTCTCATACATCTCTACAATCGACGAATGATTTTGCTTTACAGTCTTGATAGCGTCGCTGTGCAGATAACGAGGCATGTGCTCCAAAGAAGATTTAACAAAATCCTCTAATGCAGGAATGTGCGCAACCATGTCGTTCTTGGCACCACTGTCTTTCTCAGCTCTCTCACCATATCTTTTCACAACTTCCTTTCTTCTTACCGCGGGGTTGACATGCGTGCCCTTTTCTTCTTTATCCCCTTTTTCGCCTTTGTTTTTGCCAAGACGAGTGCGCTTATTTTTCTGAAAAGGAGCAGGGATAGTGTATTCAAGTGTATGTATTATATAGGAACAATGATATGTTGATTTTAGAACCAATATTCTTACATACTTTCTGCTTTCCAGACACTTTCTGCACCTTCACCTTCTCACATTCATTATAGCTTCTTGAATAACAGGTCTCTTCGGTTGTGCGAAACTGAAAATGGGGCATGGATTAAGTGTGTTTGACTGTAACATTACAGGAACAATGGCATAATGCTTAAAAATCAGATTCTTACCTTGAGGTTGTCAAACCTCTTGCCATCCTTTTGCATAGTTTCCTGCACCAAATCGGTCACCATAGATTCGCCGTAGTAACAAATTCTTGGCGTCTGAGAGACATCGCTTTCGGATTTTGACTTTAGGAAGTCCAAGTAATATAACTGTAGGCATAAGTTTACCGTTAGATAAATTTACTATTAATGATGAAAAAATAATGGTTTTAAAGATACTTACAAGAAGCACAGTCACAGGACCACTTATGTATACAGACGCGACACCACCAGGCTTGGTTGATTTGGCACCAGGCTTGGTTGATTTGGCTTGCGATTTCCACCATGATTTAACACCATCTTTTAAATGGTTGAGAAGAACCTTGCGCCAATTAATTCTTTGTATCCTTGCAAGGTTCATACCCGCTTGCATCTGGTGTAGAGTGAGATAACCATCCTTTTTTGGGAGCAGCAGTGTATGGAATGCGATGAAGAAGAAGCACTTAACTTCCAGCTCAACATCTTTGGTCTCCTTGGCTTCTTCCATCACATCACGTAAATAATCAACGCCAATCTTGCCATTCATAATAGTTTTATGTTTTCTATCCCTTTTCTTTTCATCTGCAATGGGCTCACAATCATCAACACTGTCAGGGAGCTTCAACAAATTGTGAACAGCTTTCTTGATTTCTCCTTGCTTCTTAGTGTCCTGCTCAAATTCAAGGCTCTCACCAGAACCTTCAGGAACACCAACAACATGTGCCACCACATTCTCCGTGATGGGGGGTAACTTAGATCCTTCAATCTTAATCTCAACACCTTCAGATGTTTGTTCTGTATGTGTATTGTTCATAAGAAACCTCAATATCTCTCTGTTACCAAAACCCTCTAAGGACATATACAGTAACTGCTCAAAGCCTGCTGTTATAACCACGTTCCGTGCATCTGATGACAGTTCCTGAGCTGCTAAAATGACGCTGTTCGGACTGGACCGCGTATGAATCTTGGGATCCTTCATTTCAACCTCTGCAGTAGAAGCCTCCCCCTCTTTGGTAGCATCAGCATCCCCCTCTTCAGTAGAAGCAGCCTCGTCTTCTTTGATAGCATCAACATCCCCCTCTTCAGTAGAAGCAGCCTCGCCCATATTTGCAACCTCTAAATTCACCTCCTCTCCAGATCCCTCCCTCCCAGAAGGGCCCATTGATTCTCTGCACAATCCAAGATAAATGTCAAGACAGAAAGCAATAAGGATGAACTCGTGGATAAATGCATGAATACATGGATTTGAGAAGCTCAACATAAGTCCTTGTGTTTGTGCCAGTTCCTATTCAGATGCAAGCAAGTACTGACCAGCCGCCACAGACGAAGGAACACCAGGGGAAGAATAAATAGATAAAGGATAAACAGACGCCTAGACCCTGAACCCTAAGCCCGGATAACCACAGACGAAGGATAACCAGGGGAAGGATAAATAGATAAGGATAAACAGACGCCATCCCCGATTATCCTCACATCAGACGCCTAGACCCTAAACACATCAGAAAAAGGATAAACACATTCGAAGGATGAACACAGTCGAAGGATAAACCAAATCTTGACTTACCAAAGTGATCACAGTTTCCCGTGCGCTCGGGGAAGGAGAGCCGGAGGTAATCGTGGAGGAACGTCGGGGCACGGAGCGTCGGGTGAGGATCGTCGGGTGAGGCTTCTGGCAAGAAGGTGAGGAAGCAAAGAGGTGAGGAAGCTTCGAAATTTTGGGTGGGGAACTGGCGGTTTTGTTTAAATGGAATCGGAATGGTTTTCTGTTTCGCAAAAAAAAACGACAATGTAAAAAAAACGCGTGTAAAAAAAAAGAACACTGCCGCAGCCGAGGCCCGTGCCCTCGCCGGTGGCCATCGGCCTGCTGCGCCGCCGCAGCCGCGCGTCTGGCCAGCCCGCGCCGCAGGTGCCTAGCTGGCAGCCGCGCGCCAACGCCGTAGCAGCCGCTCGCCTCGTTGCTCCCGTGCTGTGCTCTGCTCATGGCCTGACTTAGAAAGGGGGCCGGGGGAGGCAGGGAAGCCCGGCGGCGGCGGCGGGTTGCGAGGGCGGCGACGGGTTGCGGGGACGCCGGCAGCCGCAAGACATCCGGTGCTCTCGCCGGGGACGACCCGAAGCAACCCGCCTGAGCTGACCTGAGTTGAGGGAGGCCTGAGTTGAGCATTTTGCGTCCTGGGCCGCGCTTGGACTGTGCCAAAGTTGTTTGGGCTGGTCGTGCCAGTGTAATCTCAAAAAAAAAAAAACTAATACGAGTGATTGTAAATAGGTTGTAACAGTTGTGACAGGTAAAACGGAGGAGGGTAAACAGGGTGACAATCTGGTGGTTTGAGCAAATGTGAGAGAGGTAGGTGGATTTATAGCTCACGCACACTTTGGGTTTATCGTGGGAGGTCCACGATAAAAGCGCAAGCAGATGCACGCGGTGTGAGAGGTGGGTGGGGACGTCAGACTTACGGCGTAGGAAGTCATATTCCGACCTCACCCCGCTAGGCGCAATCGGTGGGACGGCTTGGTGGCAGAAGGCGGAGCTGGCCGCGAAGGACAGAGGATGGGGCGAGCCGGCAGATTCGTGACCTTGGTCCCGTGATGGCGAACTGCGGACAGACGAAGGCACGGAGCAACTTGCGTAGTGCGTGTGGACGCCTGGCTTAAGTGACGCAAAGGGCAGCGGCTGGCACTAGTGCGAGTGCGTAGGAAGTCATATTCCGACCACACCCCGCCCCCCGCGATCTTCTCGTTCTACCTTTAGGTGCTAGCGAGTCACAACTCGAGCAAGGTGATTAATCATACGACACTACGCCTGGTCGACCTTATTATTACCAACGACAAGTGACAAATAAAAGAAGTTTCCTAAAGTCAACCGCGAATATTAGAAATACTGAATATCATGAATAGAGTACTGAACTTGTGCGACACGCACAGTGCCATGCTGCTAAATTGACTCAGATAAATTTTACAAAAAATATACAATCGAGTAGTGAATTATATGTTCAGTTGCAACGTGGGCATTTAAAGAAGCAAAATTTTCGTTATTGCTAGTAACAAATAAACAAACAAAACGCATTCAAACGTGGGCGACCTTCGAGGGGCTAGCGGGCTGGCCTTTTCGCTCACGCCGGTGGGCTCCTAGGGTTCGAGAGAAAACAAAAAACTGAAAAAAAAAGGGTTCGAGCGTCTCCTCATTCCTCAGATCTGGTTCGAGCGATGTCGCATGGGGGCCCCTTCCAGCCGCGGTCGCCGCCGGCGGGGGATGACCTGTCGCCGTGGGCGGCCTTCGAGGGGTCGTCGTGGGCGGCCTTCCAGGAGGGGTCGTCGTCATCGCCAGCGTGGCACGCCTTCCAGCCGCGGTCGACGGTAGGCCCGAGCCAGGCGCCGTTCTACTTGTCACCGGGGGGGCACATACTGTCGACGCCTGCAGGGGATGACCGGTCGCCGGGGGGGTCGTCGCAGCCGCGGCGCTCTCTGGCCGACCGGTCGCCGGGGAACCGCTCCGAGCTGCGGTCGACGCCGGCAGGGTACCCGTCGCCGGGGAGGGCCTCGCAGCCGCGGCGCACTCTGGAGAACAGGCAAGGTCCCCCGCCTGTACGGTGCCACAAGCATCCATTGGACCACGAAAACGAAGTGGAGTGCAAATGCAAAACGAAGGCCGGACTATTCGTATCGTGGAAGACAATGTACTGCCTTTGACCCTAGTCACATCACAATTGTTCCTGGCTGCTAATGCACCCACCAATCCTGTATACATGGCGACTCGGCGGCAACCGGAGAGGCGGGCTCGCAAAACCAGATTGTACTCTGAGTGCCAGACCAAGAAACGCAAGGTTTTTTCTCCCTCTCCCTCACTCTGCTTTTGTGGCTGGAGGCGACGGCGAGCAAGGGCCGCCGGTGCCCCGCCGTTATACCTTGCAACAGCTGCTCCCGTCGGTGCAGTCGCCTCCGCCGCCGCATCTCGCTGCAGTACTCACCGTGTGCCAGTTTGTTGTAGTTTGTTGTAGCCACATCATGAGTACATTTTTTTTAGGGTGGGGTGGAGTACTACCAAATTTTACATCGGTATTGCCAGTGCCAAAAACCGGATTTGGAAACTTGATGGGCCTTTCTGTAAAACTCATTTTATCAGCAATGTTTTATCACTGCGGCTGGGCCGGGGCGGCACAGACTACGATGGCTGCGGCGGACTCCGGCTTGAATGGCCTGTCTCCGCCACCGAATCCGCGCCGCCTGCGCCTCCGCCTGCGCCTGTCTCCGCCTGCCTCGCGCCGCCTGCGCCTGCGCCTCCGCCTGCCTCGCGCCGCCTGCGCCGCTGCTCGCAGGTGCGTCTTATTTACTAGGGAGCACTAGTTCAGCATCCGATGGCACCAAGAAAGATAGTCGGCAGCCGGGAGGCTGCGGCGGCAGTGGCGCTAGCTCGCTCATCAGCCTCCTCCCACTGCTCAGTCGTCTGCTCCAGCACTATCGACCCCCGGCGGCGGTGGAAAACCCGCGGACATAAGGTGCCTTTTTTCTGTTCCCCTTCCTCTCCCATCTTCATGCTTCTTCCGTCGCATTTAGCCACCAGCTCATTTAGGCCTTGTTCGGCTGGGGTGGATTTATTTCGGGATCGGGATTGATTCCAAGGATAGATAGAGGCAATGACTCAGGGAAGTTTTCAGCCAGCGAAGTTTTTGCACACCATTTATCTTGCCAGAAGCAAGTCTTCCTCCCATCCCCTGCAGGTATACCGGTTTAACTTTCACTAGATCATTCCACATAGGGGAATATCTATGTCTGTCTTTGAGAAGCCATTTCTCTGAGCCATGCTGATCATTTTTGCTAGAGAGTCAGCAGCTAGATCATTCCACATAGGGGAATATCTATGTCTGTCTTTGAGAAGCCATTTCTCTGAGCCATGCTGATCATTCCACTGGTTTAACATTTATCCTTCAGATGTTCTTAGTGATCATAAACTGTATTTACCCATACCTGATGTATATTGCCTGAAACTTGTAAAAAAACTACAGGAAAACAATGGTAGCTCCAAAAATGGTAACTGTGGTAAGTATCAATTTAAGCACATGTAATGTCTATACATGTTTTATATTGTCAACGTTCACCATATCTTCTATTGTGTCCAGAATGAACTGTTGGGTTTAACCCAAATCAGAGGCTATGTGGAAAAGGAGTTGTCTAACCTAGCCAAAAAGAAGCAGGTTTGTGCTTTTCTGCCATCCTGTTTCGTTTCTTGCATTAAGCCATGAATTAAACAAAGTTTATTTTTTTCCAGATATTTGTCCCTATCCTCGTTCGAGCTTTGGATGGTTCTGGTTTACATTGGTACTTGCTCGTGGTGGACATTGAGAATGGAATAAGGTATATACTGGATTCCCTTCCATCACGGGGCACTAGAAGTGCGACGGAAACTGTGGTAAGATTAAGAAGATGACTTTTCAACTTATAAAATGTTCTACAAAGGGTGCATATGGAAGCTCACCTTATTGCATTCTTTCAGCTATCGGCGTTGGAAAAATATTTTGCGAAGGGGGGACATATTGATTTTTCTTCATTCAGCACTAAAACACCAAACCTTAAGAGCCAAACGAATGGGTAATTCTTCATCTTCACTTAGAGCTTATCTTTCCTCACTTAATAATTTTCATATGAAATTACCTTAGAAATTATCATATGATTCTGTTGTCAAGTTTTCCTATGCTGGGTTATCCTTCACTTATAACCGATGCTGTCAGTTCCCTTGCATTAAATGGTCAATGATCGAAATTCTTAACTATGCAAATGATTATTGCAGATCCGATTGTGGATTCTATATGCTGCTGTATATGGAACGATTTGGTAGAATGAAAATAGATGACATCAATGAGGTTAGTGTAACGCCTTTTATTCAACTAACAGTTTTGGCTACTTTTAAAAGTCCTAGACAATTCATAACTCATGTTTGTTCCTTTTTTATGCCCAAAGAAATGCAGAATGATGTATTAATGTATCGCAAAAAACTTGTGAAGGACATATATGAGAATCCTAACAACAATCCTAAGGATGTAAGTGACGAGGTCATAGCTCAAGATGAATATCACATTTTGGACGACACCATATGTTTGTCACCACCCCCTTCAGATTTGCGAAATTCCCCTCCACGCCCAAATCTGACAGTATCCCCCATGAGTCATGAAGATGGGCGTAATGATGGCCCTCTGCCACCATCCTCACCAGGGACAAGCGATGGTAACAAGAATCTGGAAGATGCCCAACCCCAAGAGGAGGCTGACAGATCCAGTGTGGGAATAGCAGAAAATGCCGAGGCAGGCAACCAGGCGAATCATGCGAGGACAAGCGATGGTAACCAGAAGCTGGACGATGCCCAAGCTCAAGGGAAGGCCAACAGATCCAGTGAGGGAAGTTCCCTGGATACAAGAACAGACAATGAACGCTCAAGGACAAGCGATGATGAGGCTGGAGGCAACGAGGTGGATGAAGGTGAAAAAGGGGTGCCATCATCCCCACCACGCAGAGAACAAAATCCATCCCATGCCCTCGATAAAGACATAGTTTATTATTCTAGAAAGAAGAAAGAGAAGAAAAGGAAAGAGAAGAGCAGGTCAAGCTTGGATAATGACTTAATTCAACTGGGCAAGAGGTGCCGAATTGCAACTACCAGGACTGCTATAAAGACTACTAGACGCGAGTGGCCTGATGATGCGATAGTTAAAGAGGTTTATGAGCTTGCCACTGATTGGTATGTATCTCGAAACTTTATGATTATATAACTGTAAAACTTGCTATACTGATGTGTCATGTTTCCAATTGGAAAAGTAAGGAACAAGTAATATTGAATTTCGGAGCTATCGCAATGACTGGTTCTGAAATAGAACAGTCGTTCCAGAAAGTTGAGTGTGCCGGGGATATTATCTCATTATTTATTAAATACCTGGAGAACAATACGTATCCTGATGACAGCAGGATCTTTGTCCCACCACTATACAAGGTAAAAAAACATTGCTTTCCCAGCAAATTTAAGAACTATAACAGAATATCTTGTACTTAATTTTCCCCTAAGTGCAGGGCAAAGGAGGTATGAAGAAAAAGATTAAAGATGCACTCGGTGGATCCAACGAAAAGAAATCAGCAGTGGAGTTTCCTCATCGATTTGTAAGTTTGTGCATCAATACATGTTTTTTTTTTGAACTGTTAATTTCCAAAAACCAAGATGTGTTACATACACATTGTTTTTGCAGATATACTGCCCTGTCTTATTTCTCTGGTGAATGGATTGTGGTCTGTTTCCAACTGAAGAATATGAAACAGATCGGTATTCTTTGCAACAACGGTGGCGACGAAATTAAAAATTTCGCTTTGGATTTGGGAAAGAAATTAAACAAAGTCTTAGGAGACTGCAACTACAAAACAGTGTCATTTGATGAAAAATCTCTGTCATTTTTTCCGTCTTGTGTACAGCCCAATGACAGTGTGTTCGCAGCCATGTATTTTCTTGAACATTTCATAGGTGTGGCAGGAGTGCTCAACAAGCTGACTTGGGATGAAAAGGTCCGGTGACGGAACTTCCCTTTTAACCTGTTATGGAGTTCTGAAAATACTGTCTATAACTTCATTTGTCTCTGTTTTTTTTTCCAATTTGCAGATGCGGGATCAATACATTAAATCTTACAGTCGAGGGATTTTGACATGCCTTATCCAGCACAAGGAAAACACTGCAGATGTGCCTGATGGAATTTTAGCATTGCTCGAATAGCTATCTAGATGAATTTCTATCTTAGCACTTAGTATTTTGCTATGTGAACTGTGGTCTTTTTTGCCAACAATGTGTACAGCTATTTAACTGTTGGTATTTGTGGTAAATACTACCGTGAACCTGTGATGGCTTATATACTTATTATTATCATCGCTGTTGGTTCTTATATTACCTGACCTTGTGAGCTCTATTATGCGACCTGTGATGGCTTATATACTTATTATTATCATCGCTGTTGGTTCTTATATTACCTGACCTTGTGAGCTCTATTATGCGACCTGTGATGGCTTATATACTTATCATCGCTGTTGGGGCTTGTGAAGGATAACGGCAGACAAGGATAACTGGATGCGGATAACTGAAGACAAGGATAACTGGATGAAGGATAACTTGAGACGGATAAGTTGGATGTAGGATAACAAACAAGGATAACTAGACCTGAGCTGAGAGCATTTTGCATTGTTTTTTGGCCTGTTTTGCTCTAAGCCCGCCAAAAGCTTAGACGCTAGTTTTATTAAACGATAGATAGAAAAAACTTGGTATACGAAAATTACAAAATGCGTGAAATTGTTTAGAAAGATAACAGAAAGTTTATGGCCAGAACCCTAAACAACCGGGCTACCAGCATCTGCATCTCTGATTCAGAGATAGGCAAATCCACTACGATTATGTTTCAGGAGGCAAAACCGACTTTCGCTTGGTCAATAGGAACGGTGATGGGACTCCCACTACGATTATGTTTCAGGAGGACTCCCACTTATCCTTCTAAGTTTACCAGATTTATCCTTGTGTAGGACACAGCCTTATCCTTTCGTAGGTTGGGAGATTTATCCTTGTCTAGTTACCCAAATTATCCTTCTAAGTTTACAAGATTTATCCTTCACGAGGACCTCTACTTATCCTTCTAAGTTACTAGATTTATCCTTTTGTAGGACACAGACTTATCCTTGGGTTGGTTGGAAGATTTATCCTTCCTTAGTGACCCGAATTATCCTTCGTCGACAGAGTTGGAAGATTACTATATTTATCCTTCTGCAGTCATTGAAATTATCCTTCTGTACGACTCCAACTTATCCTTCTGTAGGACTCCCACTTATTCCTTTCCTAGCACACAGACTTATCCTTGCGTAGATTATTAGATTTAGCCTTCTGCAGTGGCCCGAATTATCCTTCTTCGTCATAGTTGGAAATTTACTACGATTATCTTTCAGGAGGACTCCCACTTATCCTTCTAAGTTACTAGATTTATCCTTGTGTAGGACACAGACTTATCCTTCCGTAGGTTGGGAGATTTATCCTTGTCTAGTTACCCAGATTATCCTTCTAAGTTTACAAGAGTTATCCTTCACCAGGACCTCCACTTATCCTTCTAAGTTACTAGATTTATCCTTGTGTAGGACACAGACTTATCCTTCCGTAGGTTGGGAGATTTATCCTTGTCTAGTTACCCAGATTATCCTTCTAAGTTTACAAGAGTTGTCCTTCACCAGGACCTCCACTTATCCTTCTAAGTTACTAGATTTATCCTTGTGTAGGACACAGACTTATCCTTCTGTAGGTTGGGAGATTTATCCTTGTCTAGTTACCCAGATTATCCTTCTAAGTTTACAAGAGTTATCCTTCACCAGGACCTCCACTTATCCTTCTAAGTTACTAGATTTATCCTTGTGTAGGACAGAGACTTATCCTTCCGTAGATTGGGAGATTTATCCTTGTCTAGTTACCCAGATTATCCTTCTAAGTTTACAAGAGTTATCCTTCACCAGGACCTCCACTTATCCTTCTAAGTTACTAGATTTATCCTTTTGTAGGACAGAGACTTATCCTTCCGTAGGTTGGGAGATTTATCCTTGTCTAGTTACCCAGATTATCCTTCTAAGTTTACAAGAGTTATCCTTCACCAGGACCTCCACTTATCCTTCTAAGTTACTAGATTTATCCTTTTGTAGGACACAGACTTATCCTTCCGTAGGTTGGGAGATTTATCCTTGTCTAGTTACCCAGATTATCCTTCTAAGTTTACAAGAGTTATCCTTCACCAGGACCTCCATAGTAAAGTTGCATGGTGTGCCCAGCAGAATTGTTTCAGATCGAGGAACTCAGTTCACCTCTAGGTTTTGGAAGAGCTTGCATAAAGCTATGGGCACCAAATTGGATTTCAGCTCCGCCTATCACCCACAAACCGATGGCCAAACCGAAAGAGTAAACCAGATTATGGAGGATATGTTAAGAGCATGCGTCCTTACTTATGGCAAGGACTGGGAGCAGAGTTTACCCTATGCAGAATTCTCATACAACAACGGTTATCAAGCAAGCTTGGGCATGTCGCCATTTGAAGCCCTCTATGGGAGGAAGTGCAGGACTCCTCTGATGTGGTCGGAAGTTGGAGAGCGTGCACTAGTTGGACCCGCATTCATAAAGGAAGCGGAAGAAAGGGTAGCTGAAATCAGAGAGAAGTTGAAAGCCGCCCAGTCTCGTCAGAAAAGCTACGCGGACAAGAAGAGACGAGAAGTAAGCTTTGAGCCGGGAGACTTTGTCTATCTTAAGGTTTCGCCTATTCGAGGGACTCGAAGGTTTCAGATACAAGGAAAATTGGCACCTCGTTACATTGGACCATATCAAGTATTGAAAAAGGTTGGAGCGGTAGCATACCTCCTGGAGCTACCAGAAGGAATGTCGGACATACACCCAGTATTCCATGTATCCTAGCTAAGGAAATGTTTGAGGATATCTCCGATCCCTCTGAACATCATGGATCCACTGGAGCTGGCTTGCCTCTACCAGTTCGATGACATCGATGGCTTTTTGCCGTGGTTTGATCATCACTGATATGATGCCTATCATCGTAGCTCGATGACTAAATAGTTCAGAGTTTAGAGGCAGCACTAGTTCAGGATTAACTCGATAATAACTAGTTCAGTCTGTCATGTTTGTGTGTCCTGCTTCAGTTGTCTTTATGTGTCACTGTGGAATTGACAGTATCTGTTGTCTAGGGCTGAGGGATGCTGTTTCTGAACACTGCACGTGTTTCTTCAGCCATGTTCATCTTTACTGACAATGCATTTGGGAAATAAATCTTTTATGCCAACCAGATAAAATGGGCACCAGCACTCGCCCCCGCGCCGCCGTCCCAGGTATAGGTGGCCAAACGGGCGGCACGGCCCGGTCCGGCACGGGCACGTGTCCGGCACGGCCCGTTTCGGCACGGCCCGTTAGGCACGGCTGATGAAACGGGCCGTGCCGTGCCGGCCCACGTGCCTTTACTAGATTTATCCTTTTGTAGGACACAGACTTATCCTTGGGTTGGTTGGCAGATTTATCCTTCCTTAGTGACCCGAATTATCCTTCGTCGACAGAGTTGGAAGATTACTATATTTATCCTTCTGCAGTCATTGAAATTATCCTTCTGTACGACTCCAACTTATCCTTCTGTAGGACTCCCACTTATTCCTTTCCTAGCACACAGACTTATCCTTGCGTAGATTATTAGATTTAGCCTTCTGCAGTGGCCCGAATTATCCTTCTTCGTCATAGTTGGAAATTTACTACGATTATCTTTCAGGAGGACTCCACTTATCCTTCTAAGTTACTAGATTTATCCTTGTGTAGGACACAGACTTATCCTTCCGTAGGTTGGGAGATTTATCCTTCTAAGTTACTAGATTTATCCTTGTGTAGGACACAGACGTTTCGGCCCGGCCCATTTGGACACCTATAGTCCCAGGGAGAGATAATAAAAGCCGAAGTCATCCTGGTCAACGGGAGTCAGCAGGGTGGCCTGGAGGACGACGGACGGCCTGGAGGTTCGCCTCCTTCCTTCCTTCCCCCCTCCCTCCGGCGGCACTCCCCTCCGGCGGATTGATGCCAGATTGAGGCTAGAACAACTCGAACGACCAGATTGAGGCGGCACTCCCCTCCGGCGCCGGCCACCCCCTTCCCCCCCCCCCCCCGCGCGGTTCTGTCGTATCTAGGGCTAGAGTTGATATGTTCGCAGCCGTGCCGGCGGCGGCGCACCGGCATTAGTATTACAGATGTCTAGGATTCACGCTCCCAGGAGGTGAGGACTTATTGTTCAATCAGGTAAGATCATATTTCAGTTCTAGCCTTTTGGTCCCTTGAATTAGGATTATTGACACTGTGCATTGCTGTTTCAGGGGTCTTCTTTTTTCTCAAGCATTGGCAGATCCTGCTGTAGCTATATTTTTCTCAAGTTTGTCACGTTAAACAAGGAAAATTTTGATTATTGCAAACCTGCTTAAATGTTTATAAGTCTTGTGTTGTGTTTCACTGGTTTCAGACCACCGGGGCACGGCGGCAGGACAAGGGCGCCTGGAGGAAGGTAACTGTGCCGCCGCCCCATAAGTTAGTTTTGAAAATTAGCATTTCTGCCTGTACATACTGCATATACTACTCAAGATGATTGTTGATCTGACCTCGGTGTTTGTTGTCAGGTTATTTGAGATGGCATCGTCATCATAAGTTAGCAGTCCTGTTTGTTGTCAGGTTATTTTACTCTTAAGCAATAAAAAATAGAATGTTCAGTGTTAACAAAAAAAAGGATTGTTAATAGCAGTTTCAATAGATCGAACTTACAATTTTTCATCCAACATTTGTAAGTTTGTTGTACGTAGTACCATAATAATTGAGGTTATACAGATATACTGAATGTGTAAAGTCAGTTGCATTATATAGAATTTTCTTCCTCTGAATAGTCATCTCTTTAGATAGGATTCTTCTGAACAAAGAAAGGTGCAGTTCATAATGTGATCTAGATTCTATTAAGAAATAATTAATCATGTTGAATTCAAGTTGTGGCATGTTAATTGCTTCTGCATTACCGTTCAATTAGCACAAATGTTAGTTCCTCTTTTTTTTTTTTGCATTTTTTCTGTGTGAGCAATTCATTTTTGAGGATTATGTAACAGGTGAACTATGCATATGGGGCTTAAAGAAAGATATTATAAAACCAAATGGACTCAGAGTCTCTTAATACCATTGGATGACCTTTCTTTGGTCATCCCGTCAAAAGATGGATTCAGAGCAGTGAGAGAATTTTCTGTAGCTAGAGATGCTAATATTAACTTCAGCAGTCTGGCAAACGCTTTCCTAATTTCTCGCCAACAGATTTTGTGCACTCTTGGCTAAATCGCATTGAAATTCTTGGCCCGTAG